TATGTAGATCATCAGAAATAGACCAGGAAACCAAAGAAAGAATTGACAGAGATCAAAATGTGACGTACGGAGAATAAATTGTAGAATTCTTGCTGAGAAAACGATTGCGAAGGTGGAATATAGAGCGAAAGTACTACAAATTTTATGTTTAACATTATTTGTATCGGTACGGCTTGTATATTTGAACTTAAATTTATGCGTTTGTGAGGTATACTTGATTTTATAAAAACACCAACTCCTTGTTTGGAATATAAATTTTGATCAGCATTCGTGAAGTATCCAGTATATGATTTGGATGGAATAGGATTAAAAGGGGTTCTTCAATGGGTCTCTTCAAGCGATATAAAGGTTGGACTGAGATCACTTACGAGTGTACGAAGTTCATCAAAATTGTTAAGAAGTCGCTTAACGTTCCATTGTAGAATTTAAAAACGTTATTTAATTGCAGTGATATGCAGTGGAAAGTAGGTTAAGTTGACATGCCAGCGTCTCCGTCGAAAATGTCACTATAAGAATTTTGAGTGAATAATTTGTTCTTATCAGCAGAATAATCTGTACTTAGGTGTCTGCGTATAGTTGAACCGCCACAAGTGGGCACACGTGAATAATTTGAAATTGAAGGTTGATTGAGGGATGAAAGATTTGATTCATTACAGCTTGTAATTTGTTGAGTAGAATTGAGAACTGGCGATTATGGGGGATTTAGATTATTAGATTTTGGCATATGTGTTGTTGTTTTAATTTTTTCAATATATCCTGTTGTTTTGATTTTTTCAATATTATCTTTGGGGGCAATGGAACTGGTTTGGCAGTGTTATATTTGGTTGATGGTAGAACAGATTTTTCGTGGGATGAAGTTGGAGTTAAAGGCTTATTAGGCACTATTTGCGAGGCGACAACAGCGTAGGTATTGCTTTTGCTAATTCTTTGGCTTCCAGATGGATTAATTTCCCGGTATTTGCGTCGCGCTTCACCCATGCTACAGTAATTTTCTGTTTTGATTTTTAGAATTTCACGCATTTGTATAAAACGTGGGCATTGTTTTTCTAACGCAGAGTGTTGATCGTTGTAATTTAAGCAGAAACTACGCCTACAGTTTTCAGGATGTGGAGGAAGACCACACTTAGCACAGGATGGAGGACTGGTGCATCTTTTTGCCGTATGGACCAGGCGTTGGCAGTTTTTACATCGATTGTGAGTATAAAAAGTAAATTGTTATTGCGAACTATTAAGTATTTTGTTTGTGTATAGTTAGTGAAAGATTTAAATGTAAAAATCACGTTATGGATAGAAAAGTATTTGGAGCACGTAAGATCACTCCAGATTTCTTTTATATCTTACAGGATAAAGGAGAAGGTCCGGTTAGGCCATTAGAAAACATTATTACATTGCGACGTTGTAGGGCTATAATCGTTAAAATCCCATATATAATCCACCCTTCATGGATGTAAGGCATTAAATTAATTACAAATAATTTAAAGAAATAAACCATAGTCTGCTTGCATATTGCCATAACTTAAAAGAATAGTCTATAGTAAGAAAACCAGAAGTAGTACTCGATTATGAAAAGAAGTGAACGATTTAGATAGAAATGATGGAATTATTGCATCATGTACACTTTCAAGACATAGCTCTAAGAATATACCTCTCTATTCCTTAAACGCACATTTTATTTTTTACATGTAACCGCTAGTATGTTAACAGCGACTTATTCTGTGTTCGTTTTATGGTTGGTGTACTATGAGGTTAGGGAGAAAAACGTGATCAAGCCATAGAAGTAAAGAAACAGATAAGAAAAGGATATGCCTCAAGTGTTTTATGCTGTTGGACACGACCAATGGGCCAATTGGGATGTTTGTGTGTACATATGCTTGCGCATATGGGGTTGGATATGGCTGACCGAAAGTCATGTTGCAAAATTTGCACATTAATATAGTTTCATTATTAGACTAAAATTACCCTCAATAAATAATGTGAAACTGCGATAGAAAAATGAGCAAAAATTATTCCCCTCTCTTGATACGAAAATTGCAGAACAATTTTCGTGCAGTTAACGTTTTCATAATTGAAAACTATTGCTATTGTTATGAAAAATTGAAAGCAGAATAATATATACGCACATATACGCAAACACACACGCATAGAAATAGCTTACTTTTGAAAATAAAAATAAAGGTTGTTTTAACATTTCTGCTTAAAGATTTAAATTAGAAGATGAATGTGCACGAATCATTCATATTTCATTTAAATTTCCTATACTTATATAAATCACAAGAATAGTTTTAAAGTGAGAAAATTTATGGTAAAATATCTTTTATTATAAATACTTTGCAGTTAATGTTATGATAACGAGCAAGCGTAAATACCCAAAGTTGTTAAGCTGTACAAAATTGTTGCCATTGCTCTCTTCTGAGTATTGTTCACTAGAGCTTATAATTTCAAACGGTGCAAGCTATCGGCTGCACGCTCAACATATATACATTCTTGCATATTAAGTGGTGTCGTTTTGACGTTGATTTATTTGAGTGAAAAGTCCGAAGCAATTACCATTTTCAACACTTTAGCATCCGTAGTAGACTGATTGTTTGCTTCTCTCTTTCTCCCACTTCTTTATTCACCTATTTGTAAGTAACTCGTACTCTTCAATTTAATCTGTAATAGTTAGTGTTTTATATGAATACCTTAAGAAATTTCTGTTCAGTTCAGTTCGTTTTGCTTTTTGCTTTATGTTGCTGAAGTTAAATTCTAAGTTCGCCACACTTTATACAGACATCTATAATCTTATTAGCAACTTTGAAACGGGATAAAATTTTCAACTGATATGCATTGGTCAAAGCTTCAGGTTTTTCTTTCTGGTATTTATTACGCTATTTTTTCTTTGCAATTTTAGACTTATAGTATCGTATATATATTTTGCTCGTTTTTCTTAAAAAAAACTTTTTTTGTACACAACAGTAAGGCCATTCTCTAAGTCTGGTCACAATATAGCATGAAATAATATGCACCCGTTTACAGCTTTGTTAAAAATTTTATACATAAGAAATAAAATCGAAAATTTATGCCAACGCCGATGTGGCTCACCACCTATAATAGCGAAACTATAACTAGAATATACTACTAACAATAACTAGTAGAACTGAGCTGAGAAACGAGTGTAATATGCACATATCGTGCAACATTTGCAGCACGTTATTACCCCGTGGAGCGATGGAAAATGGATGCCATACAATCGGGGGCGCAAAAAACCCTTGTATGCGTGAGAGATAAAACCAAATACCTCTGTCACCCTTTTTAGTGAGAAAAGGAAATAGAATAGAATAGTAAGAAAAGGATTTTATGAATATTCCAAAAATATGTGGCTAAAACTCGATAATGTGTTTTAACAAACTGTTTATCTTAACATTTTCCATGGCATATCCGGTCACGAGTTGTAGCCAAATTATTTTTAATAACTCTAGAAAATTATTTCTGTTTGCTCAGAAACACTAATTATTTAAGAGTGTTCAGTTGACTTACAACTGCTTAGCAGTGTTACTCTGCTTATTACCAATCATTTGTTATCAATTCTACGACTTTAACTATACAACAAACAAAACAAAAGCTTCTCATTGCCCTTTAGCAGTTTTTTTTGAAATGCTTTGTGTGGTCGGTGCTCTTGCATGATGTAGAATTATCGACATGAAAATCAGTACAATGAACAGACTGGAAGACTTTGAGAAGTCGTGTTGCCGTATCGTACCGTATAATGGGCAGATTGCATACGCAATGCTTAACACCTGAGAAGAATAAACTCTGAGCGCGAGCTATTAATGTGTATTTAATTAGTAGTACAAGTTAGGTAATAATATTATGTAAAAATGTGATCATCTATATCGCGTAATGCACAAGTAGTAAAAAGCAGAAGGGAGTGCCTGCGTAAAAAGAAATATATCTATAACAGCCAGCCAAATAGTAAGTAGTAATAAGAGCACCTGATATACACACAATATTTTTTTTGATTTTCAAAAGCTGTTTAACCAACATTTACTAGTAGAACAGCTGCAGTTCTTCGCCGAATAAATCTGTAAAGTGTTCGAATAGTCTCCAACGGAATGCACTCCCATTCTTGCAACAAAACATCTGTTAATTACTTTAATAAAATTTTCCCTTCACTCTCGGCTCTAAATCTCCCCATAACTTTCAATTCAATTCAATTATGTTGCGAAAATGTTTGATGATGCTCCTCAAAAGAATTTTGGGCCTTTTTACTGTGTGTATGGGAGCATTATCGTCTTGGAATATGATAGTGTTTGGCAGCAATGTTTTAAAGTGACATGTACAAGAGAACCAGGTGAATACTACGGTGTAGTCGCTCAAGCCATAGCGGAGCCTCTTCTCGGGCTATTGTGAGCGTAGGCTTATGTTGTATAAAGGGACGTGCATGATACTTCATCTGACCAGAACATATTCTTCCTATCAGGAAATGTTCATAATTTATGATCACGCTTGCCGGTTAGAGTTGGCCTCTGTTAGAAAGGGCTTCCCAATTGTTTCCTTTCTAAGAATGTTAGTTTTTCGGAGCTCCCTTTGTACTATTTAGATCGAAAGGATGAATGTTGAATTCTGCTGTCACTTTTGCTTCGATAGCTTATGTTGGCTGGCCACAGTTCTGCCTAATGTTTGCCTGTCTCTATCAGTCAACTTAGGGTTTCGTCCACTAGTCCTCTTCACTAAATGATATTTCACCATGTTTTATGCATGCTCTCATCGCCGCGGATACTGTTGCTCGCGAAATGTTAGTCAATTAAACTATTTTTACAGGTGATCTTAGAGACCATACATTTCACAGAATAGATTACAGGTGTTATACCACTTTAATAAAATGTACTCAAGCAGCAAAAAATTTTATCTTCAAACAAATAATTCACGACATGTAACCAAGTTTTCATTTTTTTCCACCAGTTAGACTTGACATGAGGATCTTGTATAGGAAATAATTGTTTTTTTTTTTTTCAATTTACCTCACTGTCGTTGCTATGTAGTATAAGACGAAAACCCGGCAAAAGATTTGTCTCTTTATTCACATCATCCAATGCCAGTCTTGCCGCGGGCATGCAAGCTTGACCACCCTGCCATCCTCCTTTGCCAGCTATTGGAAAAATGCCGCCAATGTGCAATTCATTAGGACGACCAGCTTTTATTAGCCGAAACTCGTTTAGCAATACAGACAAAATTAAGAAGAAATATATCCAAAAAGTTAAAATACCATCACATGTCATATCCTGAAAGCAAAAAAAGAAACGAGGGATGAGCGATAAGCCAAAGACAAGGTACTAAACTACATATAAACAAAAATTCTAAACATTTATTTTGCTAAAGTTTGTTATACCCTCATCTGAGGTGTATATTGAAGTTGCCACGTGCTAGCAAAGCGTTAACATTTACATCGAATATTCTATAAAATATTGCCGGTGTAATCTTGTGTCCGGACACCAAACTGTGATAATGATAACGTCATAAGCGAACCTACTTGTTCCTAACCCTTTCGATTTACTTATGGTCAGGCAAAAATCAAATCCGTCCAAAGATAAACTATAGAAACTTGAAATTCAAAGATTTTTTTCTTTGCTGTCGGTCTAGTAAGCTTTGCCATGAGGTCAATCTGACAAGCACTAGACTACCAAGGACTACAAGGACTAGAAACTACCAAAATGTGGGAGATATTAATTGCATTCGCCTTCGTTAGTTTATATATGAGGACTTACGTTGGACTTTGTATGCAGAATTGTAAAGGCAACGGCATGTTCGTTATGGGGAAAAATTGCATTGACCTCGGTGATGTTTTTGTGTGTATCGTAATCATAAGGCGAACCTTTACAACTGCACAGTCGTCATAAATGGAACAGCATTAAACTATGTTTGTTTCCTCCTGTCATCTGTATATTAAAAAATAAAATGTCTAAGCAACCGATGTTTGCAAGTACAAAATCTCAAATATTTCTAAAGGATCAGAATATTTGATGTTTATAAGTACAAAGTCTACAATATCTCTAAAGGTTCAGAAAATTATATATAATGTTATAATTTAATAATTTTACATATTATTATATAGTTATATTTTTATTACGGAAATCCCATATCCAGTTTACTCCAATTAATTGACTTTCCCAGAAAATACATTGCCGAGAGAGGGAACAATCAACTGCAAATTCGTGGCGCGTCACACAGTTGCCGGCCGATGAAAAATATATATTAACAGAATATATGCAGAAGGCAGAGTCAGTCGGAAAAGAACATTTGAGTCGAAAAGAAAGTTTAAGGTAAGAATGCTGTCAAAATAAGTAAACTGTAAATAATCCTACCTTTAAAGAAATTGGTTGTAAATAAAAGCACGACCTTGTGATATGAACCGTATTGAGAAAGGCAAATCGAGATAAGCCCTTTCTATTTATCTAGACAATTTTGACTTACGTTTTTATTCCATATCATAAAGAATTCTTAAAAATTTAGTATAAAAACATATTTTTTGTAATAGTAAGAGTAAGAAACAGTAGGACCCATAGTAGGAATTTTTAACTTTTAGATACTTAAACTTCCCTTCCCTCTGTCATCAAGTTGGGAGTATTTCTATTATAACATTTCCTCCCCAGGTTATTACTAGGCCAGTATCAAAATTTTCTTGTAGTAGGCTTTTTATAACATATTTGTAATTACATTTCTTTATAAAAATATTAATAAATAATAAAAATATAAAAAAGGTTTGATTTTAGAGTTCATGAAAATGTAAAATTTTAAATTAAAGAAAAATATTTATATAACTATTTATTATTTACTATTATTATAACTATTTAAAATTTACGCAGTTTTTTATATGACATTTTTCCTTTCATTATTGCCGTTAGGGAAAACATACATCATCATCGATTAATTAACGATTATTATATAATTATTTGCTATTTATGTGAATAAATATTGGAATTGTTAGTTTTATGAAATTTAATTTATTGTTTAACTCGGATTTTGTCCGTCTCTATTGTGAAGCTTTAATTGCTTTCGTTATTATTTTATATAGAGTTTAATTGTATCCAAGTTTTAAGCGTTTTTCTATTCTGCGCGCAAAATAAATTATTATTATACCCTTAAAAAAAGCAAATGTTAAAAGATATACAAATGTGCACAAGCAAAATACACGACTGCAACGGACATCAGAAATTAAAGTTCGGTCATATTAAACTCATCTTTTTTTTGTCTCTACTTAAGTAGAATAATTGAAAAAAGCGAATTTAATTAAAAACGCTCAAAATATATAAAGTTTATTCCATTCCATCCATTATTTACGGTCAGTGAACTTAACGGCAAATTTGGACAAAGAAAATTATGATATTAAATAAAAGCCAGTGAAATGAAGATTCGTTTTCTTTTACGCGTTCGTTGAAATTATTCCATATTAATAAAAATATGAAAAGTCCGCAAGATGTTCTTCGCCCCGGTACGTCTTAGCAATTGGGATAACAGAAACATTGTAATATGGAACATAATCCTCATTATTATTTATAGCAGTTTTCAAGAGCTTTATTGGAGAACGCGTTTTCAAATATTTTACGTGTGTAAGATTGTTTCGGTTTTCTCAGAAGTACAATTGTATTTCATTTTTGTCGATCAGAAACAAAGCATTGTAGTTTTGACGTTTTTCAACAACAAACAAACAAATTAAGGACACAACGGAAGGAAGCAATTGGGTTTATTAATAAATAATTAAATAAATTTAATCGAGATTCCGATGTCGATTTCGTGGAAACGAGTGAGTTAAATTACGCTATCTCCGTGCTTCGTTAGGAGATAAATCCGAAATACGAAAAAGCAAATTTTCTTTTGCTGCTCAAATTCAACTACAGTGAAGACAATATGCCGTGACTACAAGAAGATATAAAAAGTGTGTTGCATTTATTATACATACGGCTTGGTCAGTCTGAATGTTCACTTTCATGCGCTATTTTCCATTTTGAAGTAAAGTGCAATAATTGCCTTTTATATGAGGCATGGATTTGTTTCAGTAATTTTCGGAAATTTCTAAACCATACTTATCCAACCTCACGGAATGCAAATCATTATGAACTTCTTTTCTTCATATGTGATGTAATTGCCGAATATGATGCCATCGCGAACATTATAAAACAGCATTTTCGACGACGACAATGCCGTTTAAATTTCTCTCCTTTTATTTATTTTTATAACATTCATCTCATCAGTGGTCAAAGTTTAGTAACATGAACAAGACGCATGAACAATAGCGCATAGCGGATGGCGGGGTTTGCACTTCGGTTACCTTTTGAAAAGGTTTATTTTTAATTTCTTTGAAACAGACCGCAAGCTATCTTTCGATTTTTCTCGCGAACCAACCAACTTTCGAACTTTGAAAAATTTTCCACGCTGCTTCAATATTTTTCCTCTTAATTCGTCAATATATGCAGTTTCTGTTTTTCCTTTAAAAAAAAGCTTCCACTTCTACACACATTTTCTCTAAAATAAGCAAGACTTTTTGCAAATGTTATTTCAAGGGCTTAAAAGAAGGGAATTTATCCAAGATACAAAATAATAAGCGCGACGAAGCAATACCTACAACAAATCAAATGAATAAACCAGCTTCACGAGGTCACGCTTGCTCTTCTTCTGACGACCTTGGCTAAGTTTATGCCACGAAAGAAAGTTTCATCGTTCGATCTATCCCGATTTGTTGCTGTGATGCTTATTTTGCTGCGTAGTTATGTTTTGCTTGGCACAAAAATTTCTTGCGTAACGTCGCCATGCGAAAATCGAACGCCAGGTCTCTAAAAATTGAATAAAACTAATCAGGAGACGTTCAAGGGGAGATAAATGCTCTCTTTCTATATACACATATATATATATAAGATTATATATTATATAAAACCACTTGTACGAATATGATGAGAAGAATTAACACAAAATGTTCAAAAATATGAGTGTATAAGGGAGGCACCCAGGTATGACCTAAATGGAATATATCAAAATAATGCTACGAAACAAAGAAAAAGATATTTTGCACATATTATAAAACTTACTTACTTTAATGATAGTTGCAGAGAGATGCCAATACTTTTATGTGCAATTGTAAGGTACTTAACAGACGAATTGGACAGAGAAACCAACTACCTTTAGAGTTTATATAGTTACAGGTGAGCGCTACTTTTGCAAGGAACGGACAATTATGCGGACGAACTTGTCGTCAGAGAGGGTTGTTGCAGTAATTTTCTACTTCGTAGTATTTGGAACATTTAAATTTCCTCCTCCTCCACAATTCAGCAAGTCAACAACCGAAGATACGCTGCGTTAAGTAAAAAAAATTCAATGTAAACACGAAGTTCTTTGTTTGAACATTAATAAAGTTATCAATAAAGTTATTTCACTAATTTTTTCTTAGTTGAGTTATATGCCAGAGTTAGTACGGTAGTGTAAAAACTATTACTGCAAGTATGGAACATAAAAATTCAAAATTCATGCTTTGCTACATAAACTTGCAGCAAAGAAGTCTTCAGAAAGGATCGAGTGAATCGCATTGGTGTATTAATTGCAATATCTGTGTCAGTCCCGCCCAATTCAATAAAATTTCCCACTTCTCCAGACGTTGAATTTATCGCCATTCGTGCAATAGTGCCCAATAAACAGCTTTTTGTAACCTGCTCCTATATTCTCCCAAATTCTGATATCTCCATTTACAAGAAACACGCTGCCATCATTTGTGAAGTGGCCAAGCGATCTAGACCTAACGATTTGGTCATTGCATTGGGTGACTTCAACTTGCCTCAAGTCACTTGGTGCAACGTTGATAATTCTGGCTGTTTGATTACTACTTCAACGTCTGATAGGGCTGTTGTGTTCTTAATGAATTGTTTGATCATAATTTGGTTCAATATAATCGTACCCGTAATTGTAATGGTAGACTGCTTGATCTCCGCTTTGCCAACTTTCCTGAGATTAACGTAAATCGCTGCCCACCTTTTAGTATACTTGGGGACCCTTATCATTTATCAATGTGCATTTCCTTTCAACATATGAATGATGGTTCGTTGAACTGCCTTAATGTGCAAATTCAAACTTTTTTAAATAAATGTTATGATTTTCATAAAATCAATATTGTATTGCTAAAACATCGTCTTTCACATATGAGGCTTGATATCTCAAGCGGAAGCATTGAAAGCTTATTGTTATCGCTCTACAATACATTAAATCTAGCTATTGCTGCATCTGCTCCGATTAAGCAGTG